TTGTCAGAGCTGGAGAAAAATGTAGAACAAAATTCAAACTCATAAAAAAAAGACCAGATTTAACTGGTCTGACAGAGACTGGAGAAACCCCAAGAGTATGGCCCCCTAACACCCTTTTAACTCAGTACTGAAGTCACTCCCGAGGTTCGCCCTTCAGCCAAAGATTAGACAGGCCTATAAAACAAACCATAATACACATAGTTCGACCATGCATACAAGACTAAATGGACACACCAGCCCAGGGGCAAGGACGAGAAGGCAGGAGGGGACAGGAATGAAAATGAGGAACCCAAGGTCAAGAAGGGGAGAGTGCTGACAGTATAGAACATACCTCAGAATTTTCCCACCCAAGGGGAAGGGATCTGAGATATTGATCCTCCAGCCCTTATCTGTCATTGGATAAGGGTTGCTCCGCTTAATTCTCTGGCACTTCTGCCCTGCCCCTCGCAGCTGCACAGAGAAAAAGCTACCAGTTAGATAGTTACAATGCTTGCTATAGGATATCAGAAGCAAATACTGGAACAGCAAATCCAAGGGCACATGGATAGGGCACTAACAACCTCTGCTATGTCACAGAACCACCAGGATTACAGAATCCTTTTCAACACATCTACCACCCACTGAGCAGAGCTGTCACTTGAAGTGAAAATTGCTAACCAAATCTGATAAACAACACACAAGGCCTTTTTGTAGCCAAGAAGTGAAGTCAAACGGGACCATAAATCATGGGTCACGCATCAGCTCAACAGCAACATTTGGGCAAGTGTTTGGGTCTCTAGTACCTCCAAAACACCTGGGGTGTTTTCTGGCCTTCACAGATAAAACACCTTCCTGGACTCCCCACATTTGTTAGTTAAATGGTGGTTCTAGCAATCCCGAGTCAGAGGACAATGTTAGGTGGCAGAAGCTCAGCCTTGACCTTATATAAATCTACGGCAGAGACACCACTACCTAACAGATGTTTTCAGAGAGCCCAGTGTTAGTTTAGATACAGCCCTGAGGCCTTGTGCACAAGATAGAACTGATTCACTCATCAGGATTGATCCCTACAGGTGCTGAGCATCCCAGGCTTGTGAGAGAAATCCTAGTTTTGGCTCCAGTGCCTGTTTATATTGGTCATGGTTGCATCATCCACCTGGAATGGAGGCTGCCTTAGTTTGGATTCCCCCAAGAACAGAGCCTGAGACAAGGATTTGAGTTCAGGTAGTTTATTTGGGAGGCAACCCCAGGAAGCATCAGTAAGGGAGCAGGGAAGGGAAGAGTGTATTGTTGAGCAAGTTGCTACTGTGGGTTTTCTGGAGCTTAATCCCACTGGGGAACTCTGAATGATACTATAAAACACATGCCTCAGAGATTTCCCAACTGAGAGGTGAAGGAGCTGAGGTATTTTTACTCCAACTCCTGTCAGTCAGTGGTTGAGGGCTTCTGGGAGGAACGAGAAGGGAACACTAACTTTCTGGTACTTCCAGCCTGCTCCGTGGGTGGCAAAACAGTCCCCAGTGGCTAGAGGAAGTCCTCAGGCAATTAGATGAAGACGCTGGCAGTCAGAAGTCAGGGGATATGTGTGGGGCACACCAGAGGGTTCCCTGGAGGTGGTCTGTGGAAGTCATCCTGTGAGAGAAGATCAGAGTGGGCATGAGGTTTCCTTTATCTGCAGGTCCCACCTCCCCTGGGACCAGGTGACAGAAACTCTGCCCAGGCTATTTCTAGTTGAGGTGCCAAGATCTCCAGGTGACAAAGGAACCCCTCTCAGTGTCAGTTCACCCCCAGGATTTTTTTCCCACAGGACCAGGTGGCAGGGGAGTATGATGGGAGTCGACACTTGGCTTCTCACCCTTCAGAGAGAGAGCATCTCCAGGACATCCTCTGCTTTCCTCTCTCATAAGTTTCCCAGTGGAACAGGCCACTGTGTTCTGCATCGCACCCTGGGAGTTGGGCAACCTCTGAGGTTCCGTTTGGCTCTGCAGGGCCCACTGTGGATAGGCCTCATTGGTCAAGGGGAGGCAGGCGCAGCTTTTGGCTGACTGTTCTGCAGAACATCTTTCTTCTCATCATCCACACCCATATTCGTTGGGCTCTTACCTTCTCTCAAAAATAAAGATTTCCCAGAAAAATGGAAACTGCTGTGCAGTGAGGAAAGGATGGTCTTCTCAATAGATGGTGTTTGTGTCAATTGGATGTTCATATAAAAAAACTAAACTCGACCTTTACTT